CAGGTCTAATTTATCTAATTTAGTTCTACGTTGTAAGTCTGGTTCTTCTTTTTTGCCCAGTTTCTAGAACTTATTTTTGAAAAAAAAAGAAAGAAAAAATGCACACGTTAAGTGAAGTTCAGCCACATTTTCAGCAAAGTAGCTCTTTTAGAATCATGTCGATGTAAAAGTACTTTCATGCCCGTCAAACTAGGATTTTTCTGACATGCAACCAAAGAAATGGGGAAAAAGTATTTTAAATATACAATGAAAAATATGTTTTTTGCCACTGGTTCATTTTTTGTGCTAAAGGTGTCTTTATACGTTTGAACGACTCATAGATCTGTGACAAGAACAAATAATGGTTAAAAAATAACTGAAAACTTTGCTGGTTTTGCTCATTTTTGGTCCGAAGACTTTCACAAACTTCGACAAAATAGAATCAGTGCTAATTTAAAATGTCATAGAGAACAGGCTAATTTAAAATAAATTATAAATAAACMATCGGTGGCTTTAGTGTATATAAGGAGAGTGGCTGCAGTGTCATAAAAGGTCAAAGTGTGACACCAAACTCAAACCATAAAGTGGATTGTGAAGTCCTGTGGAGCAGTTTGTGTTAGATCTTCCATCARGCAGTGACACTCCTATGCACATTAGGGCTACAGGTTTATGGCTAGCATGACCATGACCGTCCTGTGTACCTCGGAGTGTAAAACTGGCTTCGGATTAGTCGTCCTATGGCAGCTATGGCAGAGAGCTGCTGTGGCCTTTAGTGCTGCTCTGTTCTAAGAATAGGTAGCAGGGTCTGGGGGGGCTCGTCTCTGGGTCCCCCTGCCTCRTTCTCTCACTTCATAGCCTCTGCATATCGCTAATTAAGCATTCAGTGCATGAATARGAGGAAAAATATCGGAAAGGGTGACATTGCAACACAGCACAAAATCAATAAAAGCAACAATAATGCAAGCTCTCATCAGTTGTCTGAGCATTTCCTTCTTCATCTTTATCACATCTTTTAACTCRCCATACGCTTCCTTTCCTCTTTTTCCTCGTGTGAGCTCAAATAGAGGCTGAATCTAACCCTGCTGGATGACATTACTCTGCGCTGCCTGCTGGCCCTGTCTGCCTGCCTGGGGACTCTAAAATAAAACACAGCAGTGGGAAGAGGCAGAGTGAGAGCACAGACTGTATAGGCAGGCTGACTGACGTGCTCTGACAGAGCACACACACACACACACACACACAATGTGTGAAACAGCTCGCAGAGGACAGCATGTGCATCAAAGTAAGGGCTGAATGGGCGTTTGTGCTCACACGGAGCTGTGTGTGCGGCTGCAGGCCTCCCCAGCTGCGCCCTGTCAATCATTTATGACCTCACACTCGGAAAAAAACAGAGGCGGTTAAGGTGGAAAGGCATGACGGAAGAGACAAGAGATAATGTTCCCGAATTTTTCCTTTTTTGTACTGATGGAAAATAAGTCAAGGAGGGGCAAATGAGCATCGGAAGGCATACAAGTGGGTTTTGTCAGAGTGCGAGTGTGAGTGCAGACGTACCAGTGTGAATAACACACCACTGCTGGAACCTCACAGCCCAAATTCAACATCCTTCACCCTGAACAAGTGACAAAAAGATAACCACGTTTCACTTCAGCGCTTCACGCCCCCTTCTCTACCCCCACTTCTTCACCTCACACTCTCAGCCCCCCCTGATCTCACTCTGTCTTTCCACATGGCTGGCCATCCTCTGCCATGTCCCAGAGGATGGGAGGCTGTGCAGCAGCTTGGCAGGCTGTCAGGGGAATGCAGGAGAGCTGGGAACATGTAGTGACTGGAACGGGGTGGCAATGGGTTGAGGAGGAAGTGAAAAGGGGGGGTGTCTGTAAACCTTAGGTCCTCACCTCACTGTGGTTCTGAAGGGACCGGTCTTGGCCTAGCAGCTAATAGCAAAAGATACAAAAAAAAGACTGATGTAGAGAGACGAAAGAAAAAAATCTGATCTTTTACTTGTATTTATTCCTGGACATAAAAATAATCACTGCCACACACAGCTGGAAATAACAAGGCAGCAGGTGACATGGCAGCCGGTGCCAATCACGCAGTCTAGCTCAAACACAATGCCAGCAAACCAACATGTTACTTTTATTGACCCGCAATTGCACACATCCTGGGGAAATCAGAGCAATTTTTGAAAATGGCACCACTCAACCGAGAAAAGCATGATTCCATCAAGTCCCTGTGCAATCTAAGCAGTGATTTCTGATGTATAACACGAGAGGGGGAAAAAAAAGATCAAATACAATTCTGTTCAAAGTTAAGACCTTTGACTGGGAAAACTAAATTGTATTTCTAATAATGTCCACATACAATCAAACAAGAACAGTTGGCAGCAGGTTTACGGCTTGGGGAACAAAACTTAACTGGCTTTTTCTCTTTCTTTTTTTTTTCTTGATTTGAAGATTGGGGGGGATCTGATCCAGCAAGCCCAACTATTATCTGAACAAGCTGAAAACACCAACAGTTCTTCTTGGAAATCAGTAAAACAGAAAAATTGACCAAAGATGGCAATTTCTTTTAAAAATACACACTGAAAGAAAACACTTTTCACTTAAAACTTGGATATTAAAGGGGAGATATGCTTTTAAATCCTTCTTTTTCACATTTAAATCATTTATTGGATCTATAAAGTGGAACTGCAATGCTTTGGTCTGAATTCCTCCTTACTGTAACTCCACAAGCCCCTCCCCTTTTTTGAGGTGTGTCTCAGATCAACTCGTTTTGAGGCTGTCTCTTTAAACTCATGGTGCTTTAAATCCCACCCCTCCAGCTTTCAGAGCGGTCTATTCTAGCTTGATAGAGGGGTTTACGACTATATAGCTGCACAGAAACTTTTCATTTACAAATGAATTAAAAGATGTKAACAACAGAAGACTTGTCCATCCAGACTTATGTTGGAGCCAGAGTCTGACCCAGAGCCAGAGGAGAATGAAGACCACCAAATTCTAGTTGGTAAGTCCAGACCTTTTCTGGCAATTCTGTCACAAATAATTTGATGTAACAGTTCAGAAAATGTCAGAAAATAGAGAAAACTGAACGAGTTTAAAAAATATGACAAACAGAAACAGAATATAAAGATATCTACGCAGCACCTGGAGAAACTAAATTCAACTTTTCTGCACTCCTAGAGACTCCAAGTTCTCAACAAAATGTATTTAATGGCTGAAAAAGAGGYTTTTGCATGATATGTCCCCTTTAAACTTAGCTACATATATTAAATGTGCTGGAGTCGTTTTGTATCTCCAACAGATTAGATTTTAAAAGACTGAGAGGACACTGTGACTCTCGGTTGTGATAAGTCACTAAAGCAGTTTTTCCTTTGGTCTGCCTTCAAAAACTCCCGCCACATCACACGGCAGACGCATCCCAAAACAAAAACATGACACTTCGCCGACCCGCTCTCCCTCGCCCCTGACAGAAAGAGAAGGGAGAAAAGATGACAGCAGCTTTAGATCTGACATCAAACGCCGGCAAGAGAGTGAGAAAAAGAAAGAAGGAAGGAGGAAAAAAAAACAGAAAAAGAAATCGGTTACATCTCCACCGTGACAGCTTGCTGGAAAAGCTCTGCAAATGCCGAGCAATTTCTCTCCCTCGCTCCTTCCCCTTCTATCTATCCATCTCTATCTCTATGTGTCTCATCAAAACTTGTTGCCGATTAGGATCTCGCTGAGCCTCTGGATGGGATGTGAAAACACACAGAGAACCCAAGGGGTTAAAGAAAAAAAAATGCTAGGATTAAAGCGATGAGGAAATATGGGGTGATAGTGGTGCTGGTTCTAATAGATCGGCCCCCACGCGACTGCAGTGGCTCCTCTCCTCGTCTTGTTTTGTTCTCTCGCTATGGATTTACACACTGATACATCAAGGCCATTTCTCATTATAGCATCAGGAGAGGGGAGAGAGCTTTCATGACGCTACTTTAGATGGAAAGGCCGGGTGGGAGAGGGGAGAGGGGCTAAAGAGTGTGGGAGAATGAAAATGAAAGGAAAAAAAAGATAAAGCAGAWGACATACTATTTAGTATGTTAGAAAGGCAAAGACAAGAAAGAGTAGGAGTAACAGGAATCCCTTGATAAATGACAGATAAGTCTGCGTTTATTTGAAACAAATAAAAGTCACCCATCAGTAAAACAAGCCGACTTTAGAAGCACCAGTAGATTTTATAATTTAGTTGGAGTTCAAGCATTTAATTTAGCTTTTATTMTTTATTTTATTTTATTTTTTATCTTTTTGCAGCTTATTCCCCCCTCACTCCTGGGGCTGTTTTCCAAAGTATCTAGTAAATTAAACTGCACGCACTTCAGGCAGAGCCAATATTTGTGACCATTTGCAAACGTCTATTTATTCTATTTTTGAAAGTGCTGAGAAGCTGTTGGGAGAGAAACGATGATTAGTGCAGCCAAAAAAAAAAAAAAAAAAAAGCCAGAGCAACCCTCATACTGTAGATCAGCCTGGTCACACCAACTCCTCTCAATTACTCCTCCAGTCAAGCTGTTTAATGGTTTTTCTTTTTTTCAGCTCGCCCAAATTCTAAGAGGCTGCAGCGTGTGGGTTTCTGCGCCTGTGCGGAGGGGGAATGTCTGTCCTGATGCATATGCTTCTCTGAGCATGTGGGTGTACGTGTGAGCGCATGCACGGCGCTCGGACCACGGGACGGCGCGCGTGGCCTTTCTGCCGTCGGCGTCGAGACCAGTCAGAGCGCAGATGTAAGCTCTGAAAAGAGCAGTCAAATCCCATGAGAGGTCAGACAAAGAAGCGGGTCACGGGGTCAGCAAAGGATTCTGATTTGACAAAAGAGCTTAAAGCTCAACATTGCACAGTCAGATTGAACAACATTATGTGTCGTGTTTTTGAGGGAAACTTCTTAGTGGTGGTTTGGTGACGTGTTGTGTGAAGTCTCCAACAAGTAAAGAGTGGTTAGGAAGGTATGTGATGCAGAAACGGTTGTGGTGACAACAGACAGTTTCTCACCGGCAGACTGGAGGGGCGGTCATGGGGTGCACCATCCTCACTGGTTTTCCCAGAATTCCCCGGAGCTGGTCCTCTGATATTGTAGCTTTCCTGCTGGGCCTCCTCACAAGGCGCGCACACACACACACAGAAGAAAACACAAAAGGGATATAAAAGCTTGTTTTCACTCATTTTTAAACACATGTATGACTTAGTTGTGATTCAGATTGGTGACTGTTTGGGGAAGACGGAATCCAAAAAGGAAAAAATAGCAAAAGAGATTGTCTGTATTATAATGACAGATAAAAAGAAAGATAAATCTTGTAGAAAAACATGCTTCAAAGCAGTTAAATTGCAACACAAACAGGCTGAGAACAATTATTTTATGGCTCCGCAGACAATGACCCTCGCTGATGAATATACACACAACAAATACAAACAATTAGAAAGTTTAGTCATCCTTTTTTACATCAGCTTTGCCAAGTGTCTTTTTCTGTTAGCTTCAGATTAAACGTCTTTGACAGCACCCAAGAGTGTTAAAGAGATGAGGGAACTGATTGGACAGTGAGATCAGGTTTGGGCTTTGCAGGCCTGTGATYGACGTCGACATTTCCAGTTCGATGGAGTCCCAACACAAAAAGACACGCTGCATGAAGAATCACACACTGAAAAACCATCCAAACTATCAGCGCACCATACCCACCAATTCATTTCTGCTAAATCCCACCCACTAATCCTGCAAACATACACACTCACACATAAACCCACATCAAGACGCGCACTCAGTCCTATTGTTCAATCTAAGTCATTTTCTTTCCCTCTGTAATCACAAGCCTATCTAGTGTAAACCAATTTTCTCTCCATTGTCGGAGGTGTTGCCCTCTCTGTCTCCCTCCCTCTGTATCTCTCTCTCTCTCCTCTCCCTCTGCCTCTTCTTTTCATTCACCATGAAGGTCGTTCCTCCATCATGTAAAGCGTCGGCAGCACAATGGCAACTTGTTAAAGAGCTCTGAGTGGAGGGATTAGTGATAACTGATCAGCGAGTCGCGGCGAGAGATCACACGCAAGTGCTTGCACACAAAACCAGACACAACATGAACACACACAAATATTTGTCACACACACACACACACACACAGTGTCTTGAGTTTTTTTTTTCACTTTTAAAATCCACCTCTCCCCACAGTTTGATTTCTTATCTGCTGCGTGATTATACTGTAGCAGGTGGGCAATATTCCTGTCAGCTAGGTGATATCATTTTATAGCGAGAGATAATCCCTCACAGCAGGAGATGTATTATGTGAAAACTGATCTATTATTAACTGTAAAACCATTTGTGGATTCAGGGTATGAATGATGTCGAAATGATCAGTACATCTGAAGAGTTCATTTCTTCAGAATATGGACACGTTTTGCAAACTCCATTAATGTAAAGCCATAATGTACATGATATAATGATATATAATATGCACACAATATAAAGATGGTGTATCCATGCTTTTATTGCAATGATCATAAAAGGGCAATGATGCTAAACATCCCCATTAAGTCACATCTTATAGTTAATAGCTTGTGTACAATCTTTGAGCTGTTTATCATTCAGCTTGAAAAAAGTTTGTCATTTTCCCCAAATCAGTTTAAAGTATCAGTACATCGCCCTGCTTTKTTTTTTATAMTTAAKGTTTCAGGAAAGCTGATATGGAYCAAAGCAACACCAAAGAAACTCAATGACGCATATTTAGCTTTGCAYAAGTGGAGTCCACCTTTCTAACTTCTACTTCAAAAGAATGATGGAAATTTAAAAAAATTACTTTTAGACCAAATCTTATGTCTGTAAAGTCCATACTATTTTATTGTTCTGGCTAAAAGATTGAGAAAATGACACCTCTGCAACATCCAAAATTACAAACAAACAAATAAAATTCCTTTATCATCTTTGGATAGAGCAAGGAAATAATGCAAAAACAAGCACGTTCCCAAATTTTAGCAATTTGCAAGAAAAATATGTTGAAAATGCTGATTACATTCAGGAGTATGACAATACATCAATAATATGTCCTTATTGCAAAATCAATATGCAGTTTTCAGCACTGCAGAAAGAATCGCAAGGACTACAATTGATTAGCTGATTGATTGATTGATTGATTGATTGATTGATTGATTCCAGACATGTCAAATTCATTATATAAAGCATGTCAAGGTTAACACTAGTTTGAATCTATATACTGTATCTATATCTATATATATATTACCTACAAATCCGTCCATCTGTTCGTTTTCTTCTGCTTATCCAGAATCGGGTCYCGGGSGCAGCAGCCTAAACAGAGAGACCCAGACCTCCCTCTCCCCAGCCACTTGGACCAGCTCATCCAGGGGAATCCCAAGGCGTTCTCAGGCCAGCCGAGAAACTTAGTCCCGCCAGTGTGTCCTGGGTCTTCCTCTGGGCCTCCTCCCAGTGGGACGTGCCCAGAACACCTCACCAGGGAGGAGTCCAGGAGGCATCCTAARCAGATGAGCCACCTCAACTGGCTCCTCTCGACGTGGAGGAGCAGCGGCTCTACTCTGAGTCCCTACCGGATGATTGAGCTTCTCACCCTATCTCTAAGTGAGAGCCCAGACACCCAGCAAAGGAAACTAATTTCAGCCACTTGTATCCACGATCTTATTCTTTCGGTCACTACTCAAAGCTCATGACCATAGATGAGGGTAGGAACGTATATCGACCGGTAAACCGGTTCACCACGACAGACCGGTACAACGCCCACATCACTGCAGACGCAGCACCAATCCACCTGTCAATCTCCRGCTCCATTCTTCCCTCATTCGTGAATGCTTACCGAGATACTTAAACTCCTTCACTTGAGGCAYGAACTCCTCCCCGACCCGAAGTAGGCATCCTACCCTTTTGTGGCTCAAGACCATGGTCTCAGATTTGGAGGCACTGATCCTCATCCTGGCCACTTCACACTTGGCTGTGAACCGCTCCAGTGAGAGCTGAAAATCACAATCTGATGAAGCCAATAGGACCACATCATCCACAAAAAGCAGAGATGTGATCCTAAGGTCACCAAAAAGGATCCCCTCAACACCTTGGCTGCGCCTAGAAATTCTGTCCATAAAAGTTATGAACAGAATCGGTGACAAAGGGCAACTTTGGTGGAGTCCAACTCTCACCAGAAACGAGTCCGACTTACTACCGGCAATGTGGACCAAGCTCTGGCACCGGTCGTGCTTTGGCATGACCGGTGCGTGAGGATATCCACACATTTTTTTAAACAATTTGAACCCCTTGTAAAATAAATTTATATCAGTAAGTGAAACTATTTTAAATGAATATACACAAAATAAACAAACCCATAAAATATACACCCAATGTACACACACCTGTCTCTGTATGCATACTTATATACTGTACAGTACATACACTCACACAAAACACATAAATCCCATAAACATGTCTGAAAAGGGGTAGGAAGAAGTAAAACATATCCTACCCCTATCCAATACTCCATAATTAAACTTAAAATTCATCTGGTTTTCATAACATAAGCCTCTAAAATACACCAGAATAAATATTATTCTGTTGATTTCTAATGTATTTATGCTCTGGATGCCAGTAATATATTTTTCCGATCATCACACAAGACTTGCAACAGTATTGTATTGTATTTTTTTTATTAAAAAGCTGCTTAATTCAGTAAAATCAACTGTTTCTGTTAAATGATACCTTATTTAAAAGATTATTCCTTCAAATATACCATTGAGTATGCAATTAAAATTCTAATAAGCTCAAATAAAACTGTATGTGTCAACAATACCAACTTTGATTACTGTAAATGTGTACAAAAAAAAAACAATAACTGTATTCTTGCCTGCAGGCTTGATTCATTTTAGTGTATCTGAGGAAAACAGCTTTGTGTAACTAGATGATAATGTTGGCTTTTAATACAGTTTGTAGGCAATTAGTTCTTAGGTCTCACTTGTTAAGGAGATCTTAATCTTATTTAGACGTCAGGAAAAACACAATTTCCACTTCAAAAAATAAACACAGTGAGGACAATGAAAACTGTGGCCCAAAAAAAAAAAAAAAACAATAAAAAAACAACGTGAAGTGTTAATCATGCCTCAACAGCTCTCTTAGTTTAATAACTTTAAAAAATAAAGGATCAAAGACCCTCTTAAACCCCATCTGAAAGTGAAGGGAACCCCTGGAACAACTGGATGTGGTTCAATTACAGCATCACACAGCATCACAGTGCAGAGAGACTCCTAACAACAGAAACCATAACATGGAAGCAAAGGTTTATTTAAAAAAAGCTCTGTTAGTTTACTAATCAAGCCTCTAAGCGAGCTGTGTGTTTGTGTGCTCCGGGGGACTGGATGCGTGCCAAATGGGAGCTTTTTATTACCTGGTCGGATGTGTTGGGGTTGAAGCAGAAACCTCGGCCCAGAGACAAATACACCTCCACAGTTGAATAAAGACAAAAATGGGAGGGAGGGAGATGAAAAAGACGTGCTGGTTGTCTGATGAGTGGGCACATTTGTGGACACTTTCAGCTCCACGAGACGGAGATGGTGCTGACTCAAGTTCAAGGTTTACACAGGCATGCATCTCTGGTGTGTGTGTGTGTGTTTGTGTGTGCACGTTGCTCTCTGGGAGACTTTGGTTTAGCGTGTGTCAACGTGAGGCTGACTTCACGTCACCGTCTACGCTCACCTTCTTACAGCAGAAAAGTGTAACGTATTATAAACGCAGAAGTACGAGGTGGGGGCTGAGGAGCAAAAGGAACGGAGGAGGGAGAAAAAAATAATAAAAGCTGGTAAGACTTGCAAATGAGCAAAGAAGGAAACTAATGAAAAAAAAACCTAAAGTGAGAGCAAAAGAACATCAGAAGCAAATGAAGGAGTGCTGCGAGTGCATCCTTTCATTTGAGTTTTTTACAGTCCATTGTCTCAAAATCCCATTTCCCAGCTAATTTAGAAGCCTCTAAAATACACTCCACTCCATACCTTAAGCCTAAGGCCACAGCTAATCCTGTCTTCACACACACACCCGCACACACGCACACACACACACGGGGACACTCATTCATCCTCTACGCTTTTGAAAAGACTTCATCTTG